GTGACAACAAACCCCAGTGTGCCCGTGGATATCTCCCTCAACCTGCTCAAGCGGGAGATGGCTCTGGGAGGTATGTTCTGTTGATAGTTTAGAAACCATAGGAATGTGTTTGTTTAGTTTACAGCCACAGGAGTATTAAACAGGCAGAACTGAGCTTGGCTAACAATGGTTTGAGTGCAGTTTCAGAATCCTGGTTGTTCAAGCTGATGTTATTATTGTGCTTTACATGGCTGGTAATCTTTCCCTGTGCCACATAAATATCATGACCCATGTCAGTTGCCATGACACATGTCCTGTACAGTGTGTGAACTCGTAGGAGTTTAGAAATATTAAAATTGCAACTGCAACCATGAGCAACACATTTTCTGCAGCAGCTACAGCTAAAAGTTGGTTCTCATCAGTAGTGCCTGAGCAGATTTAACTGTAACATAAGGTTGTGGATTACTTAAGATCAAACCTTTTTCCTTGATGATTTAAGTTATATTGGAGAACAACGCTCAGATAAACACTCAGCATCCACTTTATTAGGAACATCTGTACAGTCTAATGCAATCCATTAAAAGCATTCACCTATAAATGTGAATCAGAATCAGCTTTATTGACCAGGTGTGTTCAACATATGAGGAATTTGACTCTGTGTGTATGTACAAAGCTGATCCATAAGGCAACAAGTAAACGAGTGAGAGAACAAGAACAGAAAAAGAATGCACATATATACACACAGTTTAGATGCATTTTTGCAGATAGATATATACAAAGGTATATTTACAGCTGTTGCACTGGGGGCTGTTGTCCTGTTACACAGTCATGGTGTAAGTGTTGATCAGAGTGATGGCCCAGCGGAAGAAACCGTCCTTGTCTGATTGTCTTGGCGTACAGTGACCTGTAGCGCCATCCAGAGGGGAGGGGTTCAAACAATTTGTGTTCAGGGTTGTGAGGGGCCTGCAGAAATCCTCTCTGCCCTCCTTTTGATTTGTGAGGTATACAGGTCCTCCATGGAGGGCAGGCTGGAACCGATGGTTCTTTCTGTAGTCCTGACTGTCTGCTGGAGTCTGTTCCTGTTTTGTTTGGTTGCTGAGCCAAACCAGACAGTGATGGAGGTGCAGAGAACAGACTTGATGATGCCTCTGTAGAACTGTATCAGCAGCTTCTGGGGCAGGTGGAACTTCCTGACCTTGTTTATTTATGTACTAAACTGTTCTGTGTTGCAGGGCCTCTGCCTGATCCCAAAAAACCTCGCACCATGCACGGAACCCTGATCATGAAAGAAAATGTAAGTTCACTGTCCTCACAAACCTAAGTTGCAACTGACTTGTTTTCATTACATACTGTAACATTGTGTTACTCCTTTTTGATGTCTTAAATACTTATGAGAACCTTTAGGGGATGACCTGCAGTCTACTGGGACCTTCTTGAGTTATCATGATTGACACGTGATGATTCACTCCCTTGTTTTCTCACCCTGAGCTCAGAGCCTGAAGCTGGTGTCGTCGGAGCAGGCCCTGAAGGAGCTGGGACTCAACGAACATCAGTTACGCTTCACCTGCCGCGTGCAGCTCCAGGACCCACACAGCGACTCTGACACACTGCACAGGATCTACAAACACCTCAAGAGGTGAGAGTGCCACTGCAGGAAGAGGAGCGTCTCCAGGCCTCCTGTATCTAGCAACTCCTGCACCAACCCACACCATCCACTTTCTTTGCCTTCCTACTGTAAAACACTTCAGGCTTTTTTGTTTAGTTTTCACATTTATTTAGGAAAAGGGTGTTTTCTCTGATGGTCCAGTGTCTTGTTTCCTTTTAATTGAATAAAAGTATAATTGGGGTGGCACAGTGATGAAGTGGTTAGTACTGATGCTTAACAACTAGAAATTTCCAGGTTCAAACCCAACCAGGGCCTTTCTGTGTGGAGCTTACATGTTCTCCCTGTCCCTGTGGGGGTTTTCTCTGGGTACTCTGGCTTCCTCCTACAGTCCCACATGCAGGTTAGGTTACCTTGTCCGCTGTAAATGCAAGTGAAATACATCGGGAGTTACCCTGCTCTTTATTGAGACTCTTAATTAAGTTTACGATGCTTAACAACTAGAAATTTCCAGGTTCAAACCCAACCAGGGCCTTTCTGTCTGGAGCTTACATGTTCTCCCTGTCCCTGTGGGGGTTTTCTCTGGGTACTCTGGCTTCCTAAAAATTAGGCTCTTTTAATGCACACAGCTCATAAACTTCCATGCCATTGTTATCATCTCTCTTCCCTATTAGGAGCACTATTTAAGTGATTGTGGTCTTCTAGATGTGCTTATTTATTTAAATTTTAGTGGCTTAATTTGATTTGATTCCAGTTTGGTTGGATTTATTCTTTCAAACATGCAGAACAAACGACATCAACACACACATAATTATACAAATCCAACCAATGCTGATTCAGAATCAGTTTGCTTATACCTAGTACATGTGTGCACTGTGATAGACTGGCAACCTGTCCAGGGTGTACCCCACCTCACTCCCATTGTCAGCTTGGCTCTCGCCCCCCCACAACCCTCCACTGGATAAGCAGTACAGATAATGGATGGAAAAGTATATTTGTGGTAGTGTTGAGCAGTACACAGAATGTTGTTGTTGGTGATGTTTCTGGTGACCAGGAACTGAGATTTTAGAGGCTTTAACCTTTATTGTTAGGTGCTGGAGATGTCAAAGGGTTGACATGTAGAGTTATAGCCTTCTGTATAACCCCTTGCTTCTGCATTTCCTTGCTTCAGCGTGTTAAAGGGTTACACCATCCAGCATCTGCCTGATGGCACTGTCATGGTGGAGTCTATTGTCATCAAAGTCTCCTCCTCTGCTGATGACACCAACACCAAGGTCCTACTCCTTTCCTGGAGTTATCAGGTAAAACTGTTTTATTGTCTGTGCTTTACTGAGTTCATTTTACTCTAAATGGTCTTTTAAATGCTTTGAACATTCACACTGCTGTTTTGAGTTAGTCTGACTTATAGGCACAGTTCAGTCTTTACAGTGCCTGAAAACATGCTGCAGTCAGATTGTACTGTGTGGGATCACACGCACAGCAGTGGTGTTAAAAAGCACCTGTCAGGCACGATCACACTTCTGTGAAGAGCAGGAAACCTTTTGCTCTATGTGTCAAACAGAGAGGGGGCATTTTATTTCTGTTACAATAAGGAGGAGGCTGTTGTTAACTAAAGTGCTCTCACCAGTCAGGTGCTTGTGGGAAGGCAGCAGGAAAGATGTCAGGAAGACAGTTAATGGCTGGATGAGTTCCTTGGCCTCAGCCTAAAATACTGATTAGAAACCTGGACTGTTTATCCACAGGCAGGGATGTTTTGTTATTGGTACAGTTATTGACTGTTTTCATATTCTAGAGATTGTGCTGGCAGAAAATCTCACACAGCTGATCTGCAAAGAGATCAGGCAGCTTCCTAGTAGCGTTGAATGGCCGAGGCTTTTTCCCATTTTGCACTTAATGACTGGACTTTGAAGATGAGCAGTCCTACACTGGGAAGTTGCTTAATCCATTTAAAGCCACCTAAAGGAATCATCAAGAATCAGAAGTGTGCCAAAGTAACAGAAAAGTTCCAGTGTGGTCAGGCTGAAGTTTGCTCTAGTTGCAGAATTTAATCCAGTTGACCTTGACACGTGAAATCACAAGGATCTGCTATTTATAGCCAAAGTGATTGCTAATGTTTTTATTTATAATGACATGGTTAATAAGACAAGCAGCAGAGAATGAGGAGTGCATCTCGACGAGAACACATGTAAGGGCAGTACCTGAGGTTACACGTACAGTAATAAGTGGAGGTCTGATCAGCTATAAGAAGTGAAAACACTCGTGTGGGTTGCCGCTGTGACAGTAGGGGATTTGAAAGCGAGAGTAACTGACAGCAGAAGGTGGGGAAATCTGCCTGTTGAGTCAGTCACTCTGCAGTGGGAGAGTGCTTTCTGTTGCTTCATGTGTTCCAAGCAAAGCACAAAGGGCAAGAAAAAAGCAGCATTAAGACGTTTGTTATAGATTTTAACTTGTTTAGTTTGCGTTGGAGATGCAATTAGGTACTCGGAACAGATTTTAAAATTTGTTTTCTCTGTTGGCTTTAATATAAAAAGTATACACCTTGTAACATTCTTAAAATATAGTTTATATGTTATCTTTTTATGGTTGTAAAAACCATGCATTTAAAAAAACGTACTGTATAGATCACCAGGAAGAGCACATAACATTAAATGTGCCATGTGAATGTAAAGCTGTTGTGACATTAATGTTAGTGATCACGCCTGTGCTTCTCCTGTTATGTCAAGGCAAAATGTCTGCCATGAAAACAGAATGATTTTATTTTTTGATGCTTACACTCCAGAAAATAGGCCTGAAAAACTATCATCTGAAGGATTTTTATTACAAGTGTCTCTTCAGGGGAACAAAAGATTCAAGTCAGACAGTCAGAGAAGTCGAGATCACTCTGACGTATTCAGTGTGACGAGGGGCTGCAGGGATCTTAACTTCAAGGGGTCATTGGTGACATATACCAGTCTGTTTCTTTGTGTTAAAATATGTTAAAGTGAAACTATGCTGCTCTGTGTTTTTCTACAAAACATTTTTTATTTTCTGGTTTTTCTTGTCAGGACGAGGACCTGGGGAGCTTCCTTTCGTCTCTGCTCAAAAAAGGGCTTCCATCTGGATTGTGCTGAGCTAACTGTTGGCCCAAATCTATGAACATTTAACAGGAAATTCACACAAAATGGAATTCATGTACCAGAACTCATTTTAACCGTCATTTGTGGTCCGTTCTTTTACAGGGAGACTCATTTGTAGACTAAACAGCATGAAAAGAACTGCCACAAAAGGAGGAAAAGATACTCAAATTTAGTTTTCTCCCTTTATTTTTATGTACAGCCCAATTTGAATAAACACTTTTATAGAACAGTCTCATTTTTGAGATACTGAAGTTACATATTCAGTGACAACAAAGCATATACAGAGCAATATTTACATTTGCTGCTACCCTGTTGTGGTTCACTCAGCTCACTGCAATGACATAGACACCCGTGCGCCTCCTGACTCTACCACACAGCCATGTCATCTTTAGCCGCTTCCATTTGCAGTGGCTGGAGGTAACGTAGTAGAGCACAGGGTCCAGGCATGTGTTAAGGATGACAAGGGCCATCGTGACCCGCCTGGCGTCGTAGATGACATTGGCAACGGAGCAATTCCTGATGATGTTCATGCGTCTAAGGATGTGTAGTAGGTACACCACGTGGTTGGGCAGGAAGCAGAGCAACGTGATAGCCATGATGGTGTAAATGATCCTCACGGCTCTTTGGGCTGTTTTAGTCTTTATTTGGGAAATGCGCCTTGCAGCCAGCGGGTAACACACCAGGATGATCACAGAGGGCAGCAGGGAGCAGAAGATCAGGCTCAGCACGCTGTACGGCAGCAAGCGCGTGTGCCACTCATTCTCGACAAACTTCTCAAAGCAGCTGTGGCTTCCCGAGTTACCTGTAATGCTTTCTAGAGGTCCCATAAGGATAAAGACCAGTATAGCCACTCCAGCAACACACCAGAGTAGCACACTAACAACCACAGCGAGACTGGGGCTCCGCAGCCTTAGGTAGATAAGTGGATGCACAGTGGCCATATAGCGATCCACACAGATGCATGTCATGAAACAGATGCTCATGTAGATGTTGGCATAGAACAGAATCCCTGTGACACAGCAGGTGAATTCCCCGAAGACCCAATCATTTTTGTTGAGGTGGTAGTGGATCCTAAAAGGCAGAGTGCAGAGGATGACGATGTCTGCCAGAGCCAGATTGCTGATGTACACACTGAAGGCTGTGCGGGGAGTGACCCTGAAGGTGAAGACGAAGAAGGCAGCCAGATTTCCAGGTAGACCAATAACTAAAGCTAGGATGTAGACCGCTGGGAAAAGGTGGTACTGGTACTCTTCTGTGGGGTTGCTGCAGTTGACATCTGTCACATTCATCATGGCAGATCTGAGTGTTTTGCGAATGTGGTCCAAGTCAGAGCGTGTAGGTTGATTCCTTTAAACGCTGCTGCATCGTAGGCTGTCTTCTGTAGCAACAAAAACATGTTTCCATTCATAGTTTTTCCACTTTCACTTTGACACAACCTTGGAAACTTAACTTGTCAAATATCTAACTAACATTTACGATAAGATATTGTCTTATTCTGTTTTTATCATGTTATTTTTGCTTTAGAAACTGACCACATTAATCTGTATTATTCAAGTTTATAATACAAGGACCAAAAATTCAGGGGTGGACATCTTTACAAATAATACAAGATATTTTTCCGTTTGTTTCGAGGATTATGTCAGAGGTGAAATAAGAAAGAAAAACTAACCACAAATAAAGCTAAAAAAAGTTACACGTCATCCTGTGGTGTTCCTATTTTATGTCACTATTAGATTTTACACCTTCTTAACAGAAGGTTTGACTCCTGTGTGAATGAGATGGATACTGTTGAAATAGGAGTTAACATTCTGATGCTGTTAAACATTGAAAAAATATTTTCAAAATTAAAAATTTTAACACAAACAACCTAGACAAGAGCATGTTCGGGGGGAAAAAATCACTTACCAAGTTGCCTACAAATGGGTGCCTTCTCCAAATGCAGAAAACCACACAAGTTGCTTCTTAGGGTACAGCAAGTATATACCATACTGTTCTTAATTTCCTGTTTCTGTGCACTATGGGTATGGAGAGAGGAAGCCACAAGATGACGTACATAATGTACTTCTACCACCCACCCTCTCTGTGCAGTATAATAAGATGTACAGAATGATGACTGTATTTTTTCATATGATATAATAATTTTGAAATATAACAGGACTATACAGCCAAAGACAAGCAACAGGATTTTTTCAAAATAAAAGAAGAAAATAGATGCAAATCCTTGAGAAAATACAAAAAAATGAAAAGCAGTATCATCAGTGTGCTTCTAGCTCATCTTTTTGTGTTAATGCATAAAATAAATATACAGTACAGTAACTGTCATATTCAAGTAAATCGGTTTCTGTCCTGTTACATGTCCTACATGATGCTCTCTCATATGCAGCAACTTTTCCTAACTGAGTGCAGCCCTGTGAACTATCACTAAAATTTTTAGTTATTCAAACTTGTGGCATGAAACTGTTTTTAATTTGAAGTGTAGGATATTATGTATATTAAAAACAAAGCAGTTAGATAATGTAGGAGAGGAATTTCCAACATGAGAATAATCCCAAATTGTCACTTGAAAAACCAGACAAGGGTTTTTAAATAAGAAACTAAACTCGCCATATATGTACTGTATATGTAGTGAAGACTTTGATGAAATATAATAAAACACATTAAGTGTATTTTTGGGCAAAGTGGAAGTTTTCACAATATTGACATGTATGGTTCTAGTGATTTCAGTGAGAAACCTGCTTTAGTTGGTGTTTGTAGTAAACTAATATTTAAGTATGCTTTTAATAAATTAGCTAAATTTGAATTAAAACTAAATTAAGGAAAAATCTAAATTATAATCTATAACATTTTGGCTTATCTTAGTTTGTCTCATAAGAACTTTTTAAAAACCCAAATAAAATGGTATTTAGAATTGTGGTTTTGGCGCTTTTATTTTGAAGTTACAAGGCCGGAAGTTATTGTACGTGTAGCTATAAAAATAATATTAGCTAGTTGAATGTTTCCACTAATTTAAGAATTATTTCCTGTAATGAATGATGTAACACTGGCTTGCTAATATCCTAAAATGGTTCGCACTGTAACCGTTCAGGACCTACTCATAAAACCGGCTTCGTATTGCGGTTAGCTAGCGGCTACTGAAACTACCAGCGCGGTTGCTCTTACAGTTTTTCTCTGTCGCTTTCATTCATTTCTCACAACAGAATTGAAGTTTGCAGATCTCCAAGTGCATTTCTCAAAACAACACGTACAAACTGCACAACATAGTGGATAACCGGAAAAAGCGCGTCACCTGCTCAAAATGCTTTGTCTATTGTGCAAAAGTGTGTTTATTCATCAAAAAAAAAGAAGTGATTCTTGCAAACCATTGTGCATCAACCAGGTGTTACAGTAATTTACATGGTAAGAATAGATAATTTTCTGAATGATTCCATCTAACCTCATCTAACCAATCACCATCGCCCCACGTTACAGTATATGGAAGAATCGAAACAAAAGATCAGACTGTACTCACATTTCTACTGTACTGTCAATAGTGGTACTTGCATACAGACAGCAAAGGAAACTATACATAGTCTATTTATCTAGCAATGGAAACATACTGTAAAAAAGACAAAGTGGGAAGAACTATACATGTACAACAGAAGGTAAAGGTGAGATTACGTGGCAGTTTTCCTATGCATCATGTCGGTCCTGTCTGTTGGGCCACAGATTCTCATCCACATCACAACACATATTTTGTCTTGCTATGCACCGTGGAAAGAATCTTCTTGAGTGCCTAATCCTGCCTCTGCATGCATCTGCTGAGATTTCCTCACATGCTGCATCCATGGCAGCCAGCAGTGTCATCCACGTATGTGGCTGATGATCATAAACCTTCCACCGCCAAGCCGAGAAGAACTCTTCAATTGGGTTCAGGAATGGGGAGTAGGGTGGAAGGAATTCAATCAGCATCCTGCTGTGGTGGACAAACCACTGCCTGATGTTGTCAGAGCGATGGAAACTGACATTATCACACAGATAAGTGCCAAATATCCACACTGGAGAAGCTGCCACTAGTGAATGCTCAATGTTTTTGATTGATATGTGACTTAATCAATATATTTTAACTGGTTCATTGTTTAATTTTCTGCTGCTCAAATAATTGATTGTTTTGGTAACATCAGATCAATAAATAATTGCAGTCCTATTTGAGATGCATTTAGTATAATACACTGCCTGCGCCATCTGACGTACAGTGTGTGAATCATATAGTACAACATTAATTTGTCTAGGCTAAACTACATGACAACCAAGGGACAATATTTTGTGTATTGATTTTGTTTTTATGTTGTGCACGTTTGGGGCCATTGAGCTGGAGTCACATTCCTTGTATTCTTGAAATATTTGGCAATAAAGTTTATGCTTATGCTATGTTTTGTTGATACATATATTTTTGTAACTTAAACATTGACCCAGAGATTGGGTTGTCGGGGCCCCTGCCTTTGACTGCTGCCCAATCCACTGTGCACCGGCCCCTTACGGATCCTCCTGCAGGTGGTGGGCCCACGGGAGGACGTCCCCACGTCGCTCGTTCGGGCTAAGCCCGGCTGGGCCCCGTGAGGGTGGGCCCGGCCACCAGGCGCTTGCATTCGAGCCCCAGCCTCGGGCCCGGCTCCAGGGGGGGGCCCTGGCTGCGCCCTGCCGGGCGACGTCACAGAAACCGCTCTTAGTCTGACCGGTCACCCAGGACCTGTTTGCCTTGGGAGACCCTACCAGGGGCATATAGCCCCCGAGAACATAGCTCCTATGATTACTCGGGTGCTCAGACCCCTCCACCACAATAAGGTAGCGGTTCAAGGAGGCGGATCGGTGCAGCTTCTGCAGTAATGCGGTCGATGCACCAGTCCGTCATGGTGAAGAAGGAGCTGAGCTGTAAGGCGAAGCTCTCGATTTACTGGTCGATCTACATTCCGACTCTCATCTATGGTCATGAGCTTTGGGTCATGACCGAAAGGGGAAGATCCCGGATACAGGCGGCCAAAATGAGCTTCCTCCGCAGGGTGGCCGGGTGCACCCTTAGAGATAGGGTGAGGAGCTCAGTTATCCGGGAGGAGCTCAGAGTAGAACCGCTGCTCCTCCACATCGAGAGGAGCCAGCTGAGGTGGCTCGGGCATCTGTTTCGGATGCCTCCTGGGCGTCGGGACGATGTCTATCGGCTGGCCTGGGAATGCCTTGGTATTCCCCCGGAGGAGCTGGAGCAAGTGTCTGGAGAGAGGGAAGTCTGGGCATCTTTGCTTAGACTGCTGCCCCCGCGACCCGGTTCCAGATAAGCGGAGGAAAATGGATGGATGGAACATTGACCCATGTGAAAATTTAAAATTTAACTGGGGAGTATATCCACCCTATGCATCTTCTAAAAATTACAAAATATATCTGTGTGATGTAGGCCTTAAATGCTACATTAACCATCTAAGGTCATGTTACTAGTTCAAGTAAGTAGGTCAAAGGAAAGGTCACTGGGCAGAGATGCCTGGAAAGATCCTGCAGGAGATTGTGTGCAACCTAGAAGTGTACAATCAGCGCTGTGGCATCTAACCACACTTTATGCTTGGCTACTAGCTTTTTTTCATTCAGAACTTTGTTTCACAAAAGGAAATCTTTTTGCAGCAAGGCAATGTAAAAACATAAGCACTACAAGCCATACAATGAAACATTAAGAGATCTGAAGACTTTAAAAGTGCTGGTACAGAATATGATAAAATGTTCCTTTATTGAAAGAGTATTAATAAGAACAGGGACAAGAGGATGTCTTAGCCGACAGTTTTCAGTGTATTGTAGTCAAGGATGATCCTAATGAAGTGGTCAGACAAACAATATGCTGTTGATGATAATAAAAAAAATATAAACCCCCTTTTGTGAAGATGCTGGTAAATAAGGCAGCACCCAGCCCCACCATTGGCTGTCTAAGTTTGTTATCTGTAAACCTTCCTTTAGGTTCTGAGGAAAGCTTTATACCAAAACATGTTAGCAGGTTAGTTTGTAAATCGGTTCATGTAAAAGATCAGTACAGGAGGTGATTGTTTCTGCTGTTTAACCGACTCTGTTCTTATTTTACAGCATGTGCCTAAATACCTGTTACAGGCCTCAAGGCCTGAAATCACTACAGATGAACAAGTAGCAAATCACAGTGCTTCAGCCAGTGACTTATCAACTGTCAGTTTGCTTCCCCATGCTGTAGCTCAAGGAGTCTGTACAATCTCTGAAGTTCAGGTTCATCTGTTTGTGTTTCATAGAGTGAAAGACACATAAAAGAGGATCCTGACACCATGAGAGGGTCCATCCATCTATTATCTATACCACTTATCCCAGCTGACACAGGGTGAGAGGCGGGGTCCACCCTGGCTAGATCACCAGTCTAACACAGGGCTGACATGTACACAAACAACCATACACATTCACTCTTACAGGCAATTTAGAGTCTTTGGACTGTGGGAGGAAGCCGGGGTACCTGGAGAGACTCCATACAGGCACAGGAAGAACATGCAAATAGAAAGGCACCGGGTCACCTTGAATCTTCTTGTTGTGCGGTAACAGTACTAATCACTGCCCCACCATGCTGCCAAGGCGAGAGGGGGCTCCTGATAAATGTCTGAGCAGCTGAAAAGGCCCTTGTCAGGAGTGACCACAGGGCGGCAGCATTGTGTTAGTTGGGTGCTGAGGTACAACCATAAGCCTCATAAGAAGGAACTGAACCTGAGCCCGCAGGTGGTGTTTTCCCTCCTGCAGCAATGATGTTTTTTAAATGGTCCTATTTTTACTTCTGCTAAAAGACAGGGCTCATTATTCTATACTTTTATTGTCAGTAAAACATTTGAAAAGACCAAAACCAACGATGTATGAGTCTGTGTCTCAGTACTTGGTAACTTCCCCACCCTGCCTGTGGTACTCTGCAGTGGTCAAATGGAACTCAGTACAGCAATACTTACAAGTGTGTGGTACTTGTACTTGACTTTGTACTTGTTTATGGTCAGACATAAGCAATAGCACGTTCAGTGCTGAAGTAGAGCTGTCTGGAGGCACAGAGGGTAAGTGGCATTGATGTTGGTCTGGTTCGGATAGTGATGGAGAACGTAGGCCACCACATGTCAATAAATTGTTGTCAGTCATATCTTATCACATATTTGAACTATTACTCTGATGTCAGGTTGAAAAAAAAAACGTTCAGCTAGCCTAAACAAAGCCTACAGTTTAATGTTCTTTAATGATAAAGAAAAACCCTTAAACTGCATTTTCTTTCTCGTGTGCCCGACTTGCTTGGTCCCTAATGAAAATAGATAAGTGTATCTCAGAAAATTTCAAATTATCCCTTAAGGATTTTGATTTGAATCAGTTTCTGTAACCCTAGGATAGCGAGGTCTGCAGATCTCTGAGACAATATCATGCAGATACCACAACCACAACACCATGAGCATGTCAGTATGTCTCTATAGTCCCCGCACCCATAAAAGTACACTTGGCACATAAACCTGAGTAAGTCAGTGCTGAGAAGATACTGTGTGTGCCTCGTTGCTGTGGCTTGTAGAGGCCTGCACCTGCAGTCAGAAGGGAGATCATTAAGACGCATTGTCTGCTGTGAGACTTGCAGCTCTCTCCAGCAGATCAAAGAGCGGAGCAAAAGTAGGTCAACCTCCCAGAGACCAACACATCGATTCCACGATGCAGTGGGGCTTGTTCTGCCGTGAGAGGGCCTTTGATGGAAAGGCAAAGTAAGAGTTGACAGCTACTCACAGTCAGAGAGACCTGGTAGATGCCACAATGTGTTGGAAAGGAAAGCAGCAGGAGATGGGTCCATTACTTATAGTCAGGCTGTCAATTGTAAATCATCTCAGTCAATTTCACCTATTACTTCAGGCCACTATCCATCCTTAGAGTGACGCTACAAAACCAGGGCCACACAACAGAGGATAGAGGAGCTGTCATATATACAGTGGGTACAGAAAGTATTCAGACCCCCTTAAATTTTTCACTCTTTGTTATATTGCAGCCATATGCTAAAATCATTTAAGTTCATTTTTTTCCTCATTAATGTACACACAGCACCCCATATTGACAGAAAAACACAGAATTGACATTTTTGCAGATTTATTAAAAAAGAAAAACTGAAATATCACATGGTCATAAGTATTCAGACCCTTTGCTCAGTATTTAGTAGAAGCACCCTTTTGAGCTAATACAGCCATGAGTCTTTTTGGGAATGATGCAACAAGTTTTTCACACCTGCATTTGGGGATCCTCTGCCATTCCTCCTTGCAGATCCTCTCCAGTTCTGTCAGGTTGGATGGTAAACGTTGGTGGACAGCCATTTTCAGGTCTCTCCAGAGATGCTCAATTGGGTTTAAATCAGGGCTCTGGCTGGGCCATTCAAGAACAGTCACGGAGTTGTTGTGAAGCCACTCCGTTATTTTAGCTGTGTGCTTAGGGCCATTGTCTTGTTGGAAGGTGAACCTTCAGCCCAGTCTGAGGTCCTGAGCACTCTGGAGAAGGTTTTCGTCCAGGATATCCCTGTACTTGGCCACATTCATCCTTCCCTCGATTGCAACCAGTCGTCCTGCCCCTGCAGCTGAAAAACCCCCCCATAGCATGAGGCTGCCACCACCATGCTTCACTGTTGGGACTGTATTGGACAGGTGATGAGCAGTGCCTGGTTTTCTCCACACATACCGCTTAGAATTAAGGCCAAAAAGTTCTATCTTGGTCTCATCAGACCAGAGAATCGTATTTCTCACCATCTTGGAGTCCTTCAGGTGTTTTTTAGCAAACTCCATGCGGACTT